TGATTCTGACGGCGTTGAAGAGGAAGGCGAGGGAATTAATAGAAGGGAAAAGGGGAAAGTGATTGAAGACGGGAAAAAGATCAAGGGGAAGAAATTGATGAAAGGGAAAATAATCAAAAAGAGGCTCATCAAGGTTGAGATCTGTGCTTCGAAAAAGGTACTATTTATTTATTTTATTTTATTTTTATTTTGTTTTTGTTTTCATTTTTCTGCTCCTTCACATCTAGCACAGTAAAGATATACATAGTTAACTGTTGTTAGATTCCAGCTATACGCATTAGCTTGGATTAGGGGAACTTTGGCGACTGATGCTCCGCGTAATGGAGATTGAGTTCGCCGAGATTGAGTAAATATTGTGTGATATTACGCATGAAATTATGCTTATTTATAGGGTCGGTGGATACGTAGTAGACTTTTTTTTTTTGCACCCCACCCTTTTTGGCAATGCAGCGGACAGTAGACTCGCAGGGCACCAATAATTTTGGGAGCTCTTTTGGGTTGCTGTTTGAAGTGTTTGTGAAAGCATTGGGTGGTCTCAGATAATGGTACTGTCAGCTTTTTTGCACATTTCTTCCTTACATCATTGGTATTGTGCGTAGGATGTGATGACCCATTTTGTAGCTAGTAGAGATAGTAGGTAGAGCTGCAATGATGAGAATCTTTTCGGTGAATGAAATCTTGGTGACATTGCATGTTCAAAGTACCCCAAACTGAAGCCACAGCTACCACCTCCCCCTTCCAAACTTTGAGTATTCGTATTAGATACGGTTTTCAGATACTTGCATGGTCTTGGATGCGTATTGTTTAGTTTGGATGATAGATGATGCATCTGCTATATATCCTCCTTAGGGGAGGAACTAGTATCAAACTCAGATGTCCACAAATGGGTTAAAAACTTTATCGGGTTTCCTGTGCATAATTAATCTTGATTATGCCAACCGTACTTGTAGCTTTCTGTGTGCAAAATCAGAAGTTTATGTGTATGATTGTGTCGTAATCAGTCATTTCTACTTGTGTCCTATAACATCCTCCTTTTCCCCTCCTAATACTAGTAGCTAGATTTACTTATTGATTTAGAATCATGAGGTCAAAAGCTAGGGACCTCTGTGAGGATTAAGCAGATTATTAGGCAAATTAAGTATTCTCTGAAAAGTAAATCGTTTTTTGATATAAAGTGAGAACATTATAATTTGGAAATATCTAGCCGTTAAATTGTTACACTGGAGTCTCTCGTTGATGTGGAAATGGGTGGTGCTTCCTCAATGTCAACTCTGTTAACAGTATTGCTGCACTCTTATGCTTGCATCTAAATGGCATATGTAGTAATGCTAAAATTTGAGTTTTAAGTTGCAAGTTGAGAGATATCTAGAAGGATCAACTGCCTAGAAATATATAATATATATATCTTGTAGTCTATAAATAAAAACTCTAGAAGAAGCGAGAAGTTAGACGTGCTAAAAATCGTGGGAAATACTCAAAATAGTAGTAAGTGTATGAAATACTTTAGTAAATTAGATGTAGAGTGATAATGTGTATGGTTACAGTGACAATAATAGATTGGAGTCTGTTAATAGGAATTGAGTCACACCTATGAATGTACTAGTTATTTGGCATCTCAAACTGGTGTATGTTGAAGAAAGCCTTGAAATAATTGAATGTGTGTGAATTCCATATAGAGTTAGGTGTGTGAACTCCATATAGAGTTCTACATTAATCCGTGCATATTTGCAATTAATGGGATGAAAATTGTTTTTAGTGCGAAGTTTGTAAGAGGTAAGTGAGATGGTATTACAGAATAGAGCATAGTGTTAATAAGCCAAGCTTGACATAATTATGCCAAGCTTCTTGAGGAAGGTGCAAACTTCTCAAGATATTTATGGCTATTCTTGAAGCTTGTTATGGATTCTTTATAGGGGCATTTGGTATCATGCAACTGCAGTTGCAATAGTTGCATGCAATTGTAAATTTATTGTTAATGCGTGCAATTACAATTGCCTTGATTTGTTCAATTTTAAAATTCTACAACTTGCAGTTGTAAAGTGCAATTATAGTTGCTTAGTTCTAGATGCAATTTCTCACATCAACTTGGTTTTACTTTTGATATAAAAGAAAAATTTTATTTGTTGAAAACTTTTAAATTTCTTTGTATTTCCTTACATATTTCAGTCCTTTAAAAAGTAATTTTTTAACTTTTAAGAAATTTTACATTTTTTTATAGAACAAATTTTTTCATTATTCAAAAGTATCTTTCTAGATGTTTTTTTATTTTTGTAATTTCTACAAAAATACATTTCTTAAATAAATTATGAGAGATTTATTTATTTATTTTCATATTTAGATTATATATGTTAGAATTTTTAAATTTCTTTTAATATTATTTTGTTATTTTATATGATTATTTTCTTAGAACTTTTGATAAATTTAGTAAAATTTTAGTATTTTTTATTTTTATGATTTTAAATTTTTTTATATTTTTGAAAGTTTTAATAATTTTCATAATATTCTTTCCAGTGAATTTTTTTTATAACATTTAATTTTAGAAAATTTTAAGCAACTTAAGAGGGTTATAGTTACTATAAGTTGCAAGGGACTTGCGAACATTTTCATTGTACCACGCTATAGTAAGTATGTAAAATACTAAGTTAATTACTAGTTATTATTGTTGATTATGATTAAAATTAGTAAATTACAATGAATAATTAATAGTAATAGTAATCGTAATAGTAATTATATAATAAATAGTCCACAATAACTAGTAAAGACAGTAAGTAACGATCTATTTTTGAAGAAAAAACTTAAATAATGGTGAGTAACTACCCTTATATTCCATTGATAAGAGTTTAACTGAACAACCCAAAGAAGCACAAGAAATAAAAGCCACATTGGAAAATTTAAGAAAGAGTGATTGGTTTAAATGGAAATTTGAGTCAATACCTGATAACTTAAGCTTTTTTGTTAAAATTGGTCCTTAGCCTCTATCTAGGGCCCATTACTCTAGATTGAGCGATTACTCACTTAAAAATGGTACCAGAGCTAAAGGATGTGGTTCAAGTAAAATGTGAAGTTAAATGTGAAGCCCGAAAAGCGTCTGGAGGTTGACTTAGGTCTGAGGATAGTTGGCATGCCATAAGGTGGATGACATGGAGGTTGACTATATAGGGAGTGGCCTAGTTAATATATGTTGTGCCATATATGTTGGAAGATCCTACGGTTGTTTGATAGCCATGTGACCAATGTGTGGTTGTGGGTTTCCATTTACAAATGAAAGGGGAGAATTTTAAGGATTCATATGTGGATATAGTCCTATACTGGATATTGGAAAAGGTAAAAAGAGTGATAGGTTTAAATAGAAGTTGGGGTTAATACCTAATAGATTAAGTTTTTGTGTTAAAAATTACTTTCTATCCTTTATCTCAGGCCCATTAACTTTAAATTTGGCCCACTTACCCTCACAACAATACAAAAGTGGCCAAAACCAAACAATTGCGATACACATGAAGCGAGAACACACAAAAAAGAGAAATAACTTGAAAAACTTTAGGAAAAACTTTCTTCAAAAAGCTCACAATCAACAATCAACTGGTGAACATATCTCTAACCTCTACCTTTAGTTGAACCTGAGAATTTGGAACATTGTAACATGATTTTAGAAATGCACCTTTAGTTGCTCCTGAGAATTTAGAGCACTATAATATGATTTTAGAAATGCACATTTCAAATACTCAGATAGGGACTAAAAGTTAATTATTGAGAAAAGGTCCATTTTGTGAGCGATGGAGGTGTCTAGCCATCTATGAAGCACGGACACGCATAACATGAAGCCGTGTCGTGTCGTGTCCGTGTCGGACACACGTGTTGAACACACGTATCCTATGTATTTTTTAGGATTTGCCTCGTGTCGGCGTGTCGGATGGCCGTGTCGGATCCGTGTCCGTGCTACATAGCTAGCCATTAAGGAGCATCCATGATTTCCTGCAGCAGGATCTTTGGAGGTTAGAAGAGTAGCAGCAAGTGCCAAAAGCCGGAGGAGACAGTAGTTCAGCAGCAAGTAGCGAGTTTTTCTCGATTTGGATCTGAGCTCTTTGGCATGAAATGTAAGTACTAGAGTACATGAGAAGTCATGTGAACCTGAACACATGAGAAATCTTATGAGATTAAACACATGACGATTTCTTCATTTAGGGTTTTGAGAGAAAAATTCAAAGTCTTGTGAGGATAGAGAAAGTAAAACACATGTGAAAAGGGAAGCGATCACTTTGTGATTAGTGATTTGGTGTTTAGACTCTATGTGGTGTTATGGACTTTTGAGGAGTTGGATTGGGTTTTTTAATAAAATCCCATGAAACTGATTAATTTGTGCATAGATTAGTAAATTGTAGGGGTTGTGATGATATAGGAGATGATTTCTAGATTTTTGAGTGCTCTGAACGCGACAGAAGGGGTTGATTTCCTATATTATGCCTGGACTGGTTAGAAGATATGAGAAAGTTTCTGTAGGTGATGGGGAGACAGATCTGACGGTAGACAATGTAAAAGAGTATGTGATGGGTGAGACAAATGTGCAAGAGTCGAACATTGTTTTAGTAGTAGAGTTGTAGTCATGCATTCATAGTCATCATAGGACAGGAACAGAAGATGGTTAATGCAAGTAGCATGAGGATGGTGCTAGATTAGGTGGAGTTTTGCAAGTAGACACGAGCGAGTGACACACATGGAGGAGGTGGCTACATTGGACTTGTTGGACAACGAGCGTTCATGTATAGTCCAACAGACGACATCATGTTCATAGGGTAGAGTAGGAAAAGCACACCTAGATCGTCTCAGGTGAGTGATGTAGGGGTGCTCCGGGTAAGAGTGCGGGCATTTCAATTTGAAGTGCAAAGTAATAGGAGATGCTAACCGCAGAGGAAAAGATTCAAGATGACAATGGTCAATCATCAAGGTGATTTGGAAATTAAATCTAAGATGGATATTTTTGGGATTGCGTCTTTGACTTTTTTAATAACTTTATATAGTTGGATAAGGTTAGAGGACTATTGTGATTAGAATATTGGGTCTCAATATGATATGGAGTTTGTATCCTATTCAAATTCGGAGGTTAGACTAGAGGATAACATTTGATTACTCTATATACAAACTTATATTATTGGTGAATAA